GGCCTCAGTGGACAGGACAGTCACATTCCTCAGCAAACGACCTGCTACCTGCAGGAGAAACGCAGGCCCCAAATAATGTCGATATGAGGATCCCAAGTTACCCTCAAGGGCGAGACCTTTYAGACCTGAAACTCTGGGAGATAAGGATAGTCCCCCCAACCATAAAATCTGTAGGRATATATGGGGACTTGGAAGTCTGATGTCACCCTGCTGTCAGCCAACAGCCAAGAGGTGGGTCTGGGCAGAACTCTCCGGAAATTTCTCTGGGGTCCCCAATAAAACTGGAGTGCGGGAGAGGCATAGGGTCCCTCTCTTCTCTGTAAGGACCCACCCTCTCCCTTGAGMGTGTCCCCTTCCCCTTTCCTAACCCTTCAATAAGACTCATGCCTGTTACYCGRGTGACATGTCTGRRATCTTTCTGACTTGATGGCAAGAATCGGGGTTTGAAGCGGGGTCTTCACACTGCCCCAGTTTCTCAGAAGCCCCCAGCTTCGTAACAACAGCAAGTTTAATGCCTTTGAACTGTGACCTTAAAAATGATGGTAAATTCCCTTACACACACACACACACACACACACACACACACACACACACACATCATGGAATACCTATGTTGCCACAATTTTTTAAACTGGAAGGAAAATGTGGGCTTTCTGGGGACAAACTTGTGGCAGGGGTGAGGATGAAGCCAGGGAGGTGACAAGGGCATAGTAAAAGAGTGACCAAGGACTTTAAAAACAAGGCGGTTAGCTGGTTCAAGGCCAGCCTTGGTAACTCGCCCCTGAACTCCGTCCCCAGGTGGATGGATTAACAGTGTTGGACAGTGAATGTGAAGCTGTTTGCCAGAGTCACTGCAAATCCCCTTCCACCCGCTGATCCTGATSGAAGCCCCCTGCACAGGAAGTCCTGTGGGGTATTTGGGAAGGCTGGGGGTGGGGTGGCAGCAGCATCCCCCTGAGCCTGCGGGGGAGCAGCCCAGCGGCTTGGAAGTCACCAGGAGCACATGAACTTGGCCCAGGAACTAGTGTGTGGAACAGGAGTTCAGAGCCACAGGGGACCGTGACCCTCCTCACCCACCCACCCCAGCTTTCCAGGGAATTTGCAGACACTCCCAGCATCTCCAGACCTCAAAAGGCAGAGACATCCCAGCTACCACCTGGGTGACTTTATATCATGTCCCTTTCCTCCTTGATTTTGCCAACTGCCATGTAGTGAATGCTTATGCTCTTCAGGAGTGTGACCACGGCTTTGGTGACAGTAGAGGGCAGGGGTTCTGAGCTGGGATGCTAGAGTCTGACTTCTAGGGTCCTAGCCTCAGTTTATTCATCTACAAAATGGAGCAATGATATCAATATTCGGCCTCGTGGGGCTTGGGGAGAATCAAATACAGCACTGCATATGAACCAGGTAGGACAGCTCACACGGTGCTATCAGCCATCCTGTCGCTCGCTGCCTCTGTGCCCGGGACATGGTGGAAACTCAACCATGGTAATGGCCCTTCTCAGGGGGCCTGTAGGTTCCCTGACCTCTGGGCTAAGCACCCACAGCACTGTGTGCGCTGGCCCCGGGCAGGACAGAGCCCCTTCCTCAGGCCACCCCAGGTCTCTGCCCTTCAGGTCTCCAGACAGAAGAACCGGGTCAGCCCCRTGGAGGCAGCAGCGGTGCCTGGGCTCCAGGTGGGAGGGGGATTTGGCGCAGCCCTCCCCCCTCTGAACCAACCCCCAGCACACAGCACACAGAGTGCACTGCCCTCTGGCAGGGAGGCCAGGGTTTTATTGAGTAGACTGTTTATGGTAGGAAAGCCGGGGCTGCTGTTGAGGTGCAGGGTCTGAACCTGGGGGGCTGCGCTTGAACCGGAAACACAGGGTCTTCTGACTCCGCTGGAGGCCCCTCTGCGCTCTGCCTTCAGCGGGGGCGCCTTCTCTGTGTCCTCTCACGAGTGCACCYGGAGGGCTGGGGCTTTTCCCACGTAATCTGGGGGACAGGGAGAGAGGGCAGCAGGAGAGAACGTGGAGGGCCGGGCCTCCCGAGCAGCTGCCCGAGAGTCCAGGGCAGACCCCTCTTCTGGACAGGGCCTCAGTTAACTGCATGAGCACATGTCGGGAGGGAGGCCGGGATCAGGCCCAGCCTCCGCTCTTGGCTGTGCTGGGACCTGGGACTCTGAGCCTCGCCACCTCCCTCTCTTCTTTAACTCCAGGTAACATTGTCGATTAAGTGCTTGCTGTATGCCACACTATTCCAGGCCCTCAAGGCCAAGGTACATGGAGGTTGAGTGTCCCCCTGCCTCCCCTCTAGCCCACCCATCCCCTCCCCTGGTCTCAGGCACCAGGATGGAGTGGCAGCACCTGCCCTGATTTCCCTCACCCCCTCTCATCTCCCACGGTCCACCCGCCTCAAGGCAGTCAGAGGGACACACCCCACCCTGTCTATAACCCTCCAGAGCACCCCATGCCCTCTTTGTGACACCACACGCCTGTTGTCTGACAGGACAGCCCTGCCTGCCTGGGTCCTATTACCTCTTGCCACTGTCACCCATCCCTAGGCCCCAGCCACCCTGACCTGCTTGCTCCCCACCCAGGCACCAGGTCAGGGCTGGGTTCTGCTAGCGGCTCTTCGTGGAGCTGAGCAGGGCTGGGTCTTACCTGTGGTGCAGCTCAGGGAACCCTCCCATCCCCAGGCCTCCCCACCCACTGCATCCACCCTACAGTGAGCACCCCCCCCCTCAGGTGTCTGTACTCCTCACTAAGGTGCAAGCCCAGGGTGCAGGAATTCTCCAGTGGCTCCCCAGAGCCCAGCACATAGTAGGTRCTCAATAAATATATATTAAATGAATGGGTGAAGTGAGCAGCTTCCCTGGGCAGGGACCTGTCTCCCCGCTGCCTTGACTGCCCTGAGGAATCCAGCCAGTCTYGGCCTCAGTGAGCCCCCAGAACGCCTTGCTGCATGGAATCTCACCTGGGTTTCCGGTTTTCAGTACCCGTGATGTTCTCATTGCCTTCAGAAGCTGACTATAAACATAAACAGAGGAGAGGCTAGGGAGGCAGGCCCCAGAGGGGGTGGGTGGCGGGGAGGTGGGTGACACAGGTGCACTGAGCCGCATGCTCTGGAGAGAGGGAAACCGCGTCTCCTGGAGGGCTGGAAGTGGACTGTCCGTGGCTGGGCCCAGGCRGCCTGCCTGCCTCCCTCCCCCAAGCAGGACTCAGGTGATGCCATCCCATGCCTGCTATGGCCACTGGGAACCGGGCCCTCCTATCCCTGAAGTTGTGGGATGGTGCCACAGTAGGTGGTCCCTGGCTCAGCCCCTGTTTCATGTGGCTTTACACAGTCCCAACCTCTTGGGCAGACTGTCATTTCCCCACTTCGACTCCAGGGAGGGCAGAGAGAGGGTGAAACAGCCACTCATAGGGGTCGCTCGGCCAAGGTCACAGTGGGCCTCCCTTTCTCACTGTGGTGTTCCTTCCCTGKACGCTCCACAAGGCAAAGCAAACCAAGTTCAGGGCCAGTGACAAAACCCAGGCCCGCGACAAGCCTCAGCCCCCTCTCTAGCGCTGTCTCCTGCCCAAGCCCACAAMCCGGGGCTCCAGCCATCCCAAGCTTCACCTCCCGGGAAATCTGTGCATTCCCGGAARTGCATGCATTCTTGACATCCAGGCCATCACCGGGCTCCTCCCTCTCCCTGAGATGGCCTTTCCCCATCCTTTGATTTGCTCATTCAAATGCCATTAGTGTTCCTAGTCTCTGCCAAAAATACTTGGGTGATTATTAAAAATACAGCTTCCCATTCCTCAGAAAACTAGGAATGGAACCACCATTTGACCCACTTATGCTACTCCTCGACATAAAACAGCATCCTACAGGGACACAGCCATCACTGTTTACAGCAGCTCAATTCACAATAGCTAAGCTATGGAACCAAACTAGGTGCCCTTCAACAGATGAATGGGTGAAGAAATTGTGGCATATATATACAACAAAATATTACTCAGCCTTAAAAAAGAATGAAATCATGGCATTTGCCAGTAAATGGATGGAACTGGAGCCTTCAGAGTTCTAGACTAGAAGGGTCACCTAAATACCTCCTAGATACCCCAACCTTTCCAGCTTCCAATTAACTTATTCTTTCCAAGCCAGCCCCAAGACAATACACATCAGCATTAATACACCCCGTCAGCTGCTCCAGTAAAATTCTGAACATTTACTTTAGCCTGCCCGCCCTGCCTTGGGACCCATTCCTCCCCACACACAGCAGGCAGCGGAGTCTAGGCTGACTGGACCTCCAGACAGCTCGGCTACCACCACAGGGTCCCTCCTGGGGGAGGGGCTCTTGCTCCAGGACGGTCACCTGGTCACCGTCAGCCCAGGCGCTGGCCAACGCCAAGCTCCCGTCTCTGGGCCCTGCAGGCCTCACCCCGGAGGCCAGCTGCTGAGCCTGAGGAAGCAGTTCTGGGAACAGAAGGGCAGGTGTGGGGCCCACCTGGAGGGGGAGTGCGGCTTCTCTTGAGGTGCTTCTTGAATTTGCTGAGGCTGGTTCAAGAGTCTTTCTGCTGGAGRGGAGGCTGAGGGCTGAGGGAGAAGCTGAGACACCGCCCTCTGCAGGAGCGCCAGAGCAAGGTCCTTCTCTGAAAGCACAGCACGGGCAGAGTCAGCCCCAGCCGCCTCCTGTCCCTGATGGGTGTCTAGCGGCAAGGTCAAGGGCRCGTTCTGTAACCATCCCACGTTCTGCCCACGGGTCCCTGCAGAGGAGGCCCCCACCTCTCCCGCCTTGGGAAGCACTTAGTCCTTCCACGTCTGTCTCTGCCTCGATCCCGCTCCATCCTGCCCACCCCCCTCCTGGGCCACCATCCCCCTCTGGGGGTCCTCCTCCTCCTCCTTCCCGTCCCCCTCTCCCTCCTCCTTCACTCTTCCACCCAGGAAGTCTTCTCCGTCTCACAACTCTCCCCAGTCCTCACCTTGCTCCGTCCACTGTCCCAATCTGTATCTGGAGTGTATTTGTACTCTCTTATGAGTGCACGAGTGTTCTTGTATTTGCACGTGTGTGTGTGTGTGTGTGCACGCGCGCACGTGTGTGTTTCCCACTGTGATGTGTGAAGGACTGTGTCTGCTAAGTGTGATCTTTGAATGTTTCCCTCCTTGCTTAGCCCTGGGGTCAGCTCGAAGGAGGGGTCAACTCCAAGGTGGCCACAGAAACCTGCTGCGGCCCAGGGAGGAGGGGAAGGCTACTTTGGAGCTGCAGAAAATTGGAGGGAAGGCCCTGGGGCGGGAGCTCTGGGACATCTGAGTCCTGCAGAGCCCAAGAAGAAGGGCGGGGCCTTGGCAGTGTCCACTCAGGCAGGGGGCCCTGTGGCCAGGTCCTCACCCGTGGGGGTGGCATACAGCAGCCAGTACTGGACGGCACTCAGCGAATCCGTCTGAAGGATCTGACAAAGGAGCTCCAGGATCTGCAGGCGGAGGACGGGCCTGGCTCAGGCCCAGCCAGGAGTGCAGGCAGATGTGGACTTGGGGCACCAAGGGCTCCTCCCCCTGCAGTGGGCTCCCAGAGCCACAAGCTGGTYCCAAACCAGCAAGAGGTTTTTGTCTGCCTCTTATGGAGGACTTCCTCTCACACCTTCCTTTCTTTCCAAACCTAGGGCCTCACACCCTCTAGGCAAGTGCTCTACACCACTGAGTCACCCCCCTAGTCCCCYGGAGGGAGATTCTTAACCTCCTCACTGGACAGGGAAGGACTCCAAGGCCTGGAGAGAGGAAGACCCCAGACAGGGAGTCTGGCGGAGGGAAGCCTCACACATCAGCTCCCTGGACACCTCATTCCCAGAGCCTCGTTGGGTCGGCTGTACCCCAGGGTCCCTCCCTGGGAAGGCACAGGCAGAGCTGGCCAGTCACCTCCTCAGGGACGCACTGAGTCCCACAAGCCTGGGTCCGTTATCTGGGAATTCCGGGTACCCCAGAGGCCATCCCACCCCGAGCTCTCAGTGCCTGAAGGTGATATCAAAGTGGTGGGGAGTTGGCGGTGGGCAGCCTGAGGGTCGGGGCAGGCTGGTTCTGCAAGCTGCTCAGCGTGGGACTCCTTCCTGCCGGTCAGTGGGCACCCAGGGCTCATCCCCGCATCCTCAGCCTCTGGCATCTTTGCCACTTCGGGGCCCGTTTTCCCCTGCGCTCGCCAGCCAGGTAGCATCAGGAGAAGCTCCACCTCGGCCTCGGATGAGACCCAGGTGCTTCCTCGGCCGAGTGGTCTACGGTGGAAGTGGCTATGGCGGACTGGAGTTTGGGCCCATGGAGGGAGATGGAGCCCCTGGAGTCCTAGGAAACGTGGGTTCCCTCAGTAGTTGGTGGGCAGTCTTTCTGGGGCCTCTCAGACCCCAGCAGGTCTGTCTTGTCCTTGGCAGAATGGGAAATGGGCTGGACCCCTCCCCAGGCCTCTGCCTGCTTGGGTGCCCACCCTCACCCCCAAGACCTACTTGTGTATGACCCACCCTGATCTGCCCCTGGGCCCTTCTCCGGGCTCCGCATCCAACTTACCTGCCCTGTGCCCCCTCCCCACAGGACCTGAGAACCTAATTCCAGGCGCGGTGGGGCCGCCCTGCGGTGGAGAAAGTGCTGGTTCTAGTACCGCCTAGGCTGCTCCTTCTTTGGGGACCTGGGCCACAGAACCCACTTGGCAAGGCCTCAGCAGCCACTTCCCCCCATCTGTGGAATGGGGATCCCCGGCCCTGTCTGCTCTGTCCACGGTGCTAGACAGTCAGAAGGCCCCAAAGGCCCGGCCTGCCTGAGTACACTGGTGGCAGGAAGGTGACGAGATGCTACAGTCTGACCTTTCCTGGAAGACYTAGGTCAGCGTCCCAGGGACCTGCAGTGTGCTGACCCCCTGGATGAGGCAAGGACTCATCTCAGCTGTGATGGTAAACTTGAGCGTGGAGAAGGGGGCTCTGAGCAGGCCAAACCCCTCTCAGTGGGGTCTGCAGGCTGCGAGACTCAGCCTCCAGGGTGATCTGCCAGTGCCCCAGGCAGGACCCCCACCTGCAGGGGTCTCGGTCCCCCACCCCGGCAGCGGCCTTCATGAACAGCCTAAGGCACCTTCCATGTGAACGGGCGCCTGCGCCCAGTTTGGATGCATCATGTAACCAAGGCCCAGAAGAGGGAAGGACTTACACAGAACGGGACAGGGTCCTCCAGAGGCAGAGGGCCCTGGAGCCCAGGCTGCTGATTCCCAGGGTGGGGGTTTTCCTGACAGTTGCTGGAGTGGGCATTCCCAGGACAGGCCATGCCCTAAAGCAGTCTGGAAGAGTGGTAGCCTGGGGACAGGGACTTCGACAGTCTCTGCCCCCAGAGTGGGGCTCACCAGCAGCTCCTGGTTCTGCAAGACAGAGGTCTGGACGCCTCTATCTCTGCTGGGAAGGTGGCTCCGCTGGGAGCCATGGCGGTTGAGAGCTTGGGCGGAAGCCGGGATGAGCCTACCCGTCTCCGCTGAGTACCTTGCTCCCTGCTCCTTCGAAGGCTCCTCTTTCTGCTGGGACAAAAGTGACCAGAGACTCCAGRAGCCAGTGAGAGGGTAGGGAGAGGAYAGAGGGGACAAGAGGAGGAGGCCAGTTCACACTTCTTGGGTGCTACCTGCCTCCCCAAATCCCAGTGTCACAGCATTGCTGGGGACCCAGGATGCCAGCTAGGCCATGCCCACCCTGTCCTAGGCCCATCTTTGAGTATCCCAGGCTCAGCCCCAGTGAGCCCTTCACCACAGGGCTCAACCTGGCAGAGCCTTTCTTCCCGGAAACGCAGTATCTAAGATTGGCAGCTGGGACACCCTAGTGGCTCTGTTTCTTCCTCTCAGGCTGGACCTCYTGGCTGCCCCTCCCCTCAGCCCATCAGAGATTGGAACACAGCACCCTGCCTCAAGGACCCTCTGCCCGCCTCCATTCATAGCTCAGATACCTCCAGTCAGGCCCCTCAGCTTGCCACTCTCTGTCTTGGACAGTCAGGCCTCTGGGCACAAGGCCTGGGGCCTCCTTCCCTTAAAATTTCAGCTAAGTCTTGTAGTATCCATCTCCCCGTTTTAAAGATAAGAAACGGAGGCCCAGACAGCTCAGTTGCCCTGAATGAGTGCACTCAGTGTAGGAACCAGAAGCCAGGCCCCGGCCTTTCCACTCTGGTGGCCCAAGACAAGGGTCAGGGCCAKCCTCAGCTGCAAGAGTCCCAGCCTYYGCTGCAAGAGTCCAGGCCTTTCCTCGGACCACCTTCAGCTGCCTTTGAATGGTCTCTGCCATTTTATCAAACGTACCCATGGGGTCACCCCATCTGGTTTGAAGCCTTCCCATGATTCTCTGCTCCTGGTGAGGTCACACCCTCCAAGCTGGGAAGTGAAGCGCTYCCCACATTCAAAGTCAGGCTCCTCCTCCCTTATCGCCGCCCACTCCTTCCCTGTCCTCCAGCTCCTGGTGTCTAGAGAGGTCCTGCAGCTGCCAGCGTCTGAGATCTTGCTCAGAAGGCCTCCCTGGGAAACGCCCACTTCTCAGGGAGTCCTGCTCGGGTTTCCCCAGGAGGTCTGTTCCCGCCCTCCTCTGACCCTCACCCCCCTCCTAGTGCCTTCGTCCTGGCCCCTTCTCCCAGGGCCTCCAGCCATGCTCTGAAGGRACTTCTGTACAAAGGTGCGGATCGACTTCCTGTCGCCCTCGCCTGGCACTTTTGTTCCGCACCCACCTCTTTGTTGTTCTGCTCTGTCTCCTTGGTGAACATGACCACCCTTGAAGTCAGCTCCTTCAGCTCCTTCTTCCAGGCCTCTGAGGGGAGGGGAGAAGATCCTGGGCCCCTGCTCCTCCCCTGTGGGCYCCAGGGCTGGGAGGGTGGGGAAGGTTCTAGGTGGAAGAGTTCCCCACTCCTTTCCAGGCTTCCCTGCCCAATCTCAAGGGAGAGGGGGGTCCTGGAGGAGGAGCATTAGGAATTGCCCCACAGGTGGRAGGTATGTGGACACTACTTCACTTCTACAAGGGACTGATGATGTTGATTGTCCTGCCTGCGGCATTGCTGGGAGGTCCAGGAGACACTGGGCCACTGCAACTACAGACCTGTGGTCTGTCTAGCTGTGCCTCCTGGGGAACCTGAGGCCAGGACTGAGATTTGGGAGGTATGCTGAGCCAGTTATTAAGACCCCAAGCAACTCTGAGAGGGGTGGGCATAAAGCTCTGCAGCCAGCCCTCCAAGCCTGTCTGGCCAGCCCTTTCCCCAGACCCCCCCCCACTAACCTGACTCTCCCACCCGGCAGTAGCAGAGGGAGGGCGGGCTGGGCAGGGGGAAGCCGAGGAGTGCTGCTCTAGCACCCAGGTGGTTGGCTCGGATGGGCTGGGGCCTGTGCGTATTTGAAATACTAAATATCTGAAATGTCATTCCTGTCTGTAGCTGTCGGTCACATGACTTTGCCAGTATCAACTTGTCTTCTGCTTTTTATTATTCGTCAACCACCTCAAATCCAAGCAGGGGCGCCTCTCTGAGGCTGGGGCTGAGGTGGGGATACAGAGATGAGGCCCACCAAGAAAGTGGGGGGAAACAGGGTCCTCCTGATGGACTCCGCTGACCTAAGAGCAGTGGCCCTTTCCTTCTCAGACATCCACCCAAGTGAGGCAGCCCCGGGGGACAGGTGGGAGCCCCCAAGGAGAAGGGTGTGGCCCAAGTACCCACCATAAGAAAGCTGGGGGTTCCGATTGGACTGTGGGTCCCCAATGGGGACAGAGATGCTGGGCATCACCTTCAGACACTGGGACAGGATTGAGGAACGAGGCAAAGGGCTTTCAGAGAGCTTGTTCCTGACGATACAGACAGGCCTCCCCGTGAAATCTGTGAAGAGTTGGAGGGTCTGAGTGGACCCTGGGAACTCCGGGAGGCCAGAGAAAGGCTGTGGGGCAGGGAGAGCTCTGGCTCCATCGGTCGTCAGAGGCAGGAGGGCCCCTGCAACCCCCGGGRACCAACCACCGCCTCAGCCACAGGACACTGAGAATGGGTGGGGGTCAGGGGAGACCTGCTCAGGGTCAGGCAGAGAGTTGGGGCAGAGGCCAGACAAGATCCCCTCCTTCGTGGGACCCGGGTCCTGGGGTCCTTCCGGCTTCCTATGGCAGGGCCAGGGGTCCACAGGGAAAGAGAGGGAGAGAGCCTCTGGGGAGAACTTCTCTCAGTCTGGAGATGGGGAGGGGTGGCTCACGGGTGGAGAACCTGTCCCCCTGGAGGGCRGGTGACTGTGACTTCACACACCAGCTGTCCTCTCATGGCCGTCACATTTACACCTCCCTCTGACTTCCATCAGCTTCCACCTGGACCAACCTCCCCCTGTCGCCTGAACGCCACCTGGCATCTCACTTCTCTCCTGCCCAGGACCCACACCAGCTCCTCCCCACCCTCCCCAGGCCTCACCTCTTTGTTTAATTTTCTACTTTTTGCAGCCTTGGAGATTGAACCCAGGGGGCTACCACTGAGCTACCTCCCCACCCCGGCCCTTTTTATTTTTAAATTTTGAGCCAAGGTCTTGCCAAGTTGCTGAGGCTGGCCTCCAACTCGCCATCCCACCTCAGCTCCTGAGTGGCAGGGATGATGACAGGCTTATGCCACTGTGCCCAGAAAAATATCTCACTTCCTTCACTTCTGTACACTGAGCGGTAGGGAGATGCCATCTGATGCAGCCAGGTGGCTTAATGGTGAACCCAGTGGCCGGCAAGGCCCACCTGATCTGGCTGCTGCCCTCTGATGTCATTTCATCTCCCTGTCCTTCCTCTGCAGTGGTCCCAGCGGGGACTTCTCCTGGCTGTCCCTCGGGCACAACCAGGGTGTTCTGGCCTGGGGCTTCTGTATGTGCTGATCCCTCCGCCTGGGGCATGCTTGTCCCTGATACGCACACAGTCCCCACACTTCTTTCCTTTGGTTCCTGACTCAATGTCTGGTTATTGGCCTGGTCTTGCCTGACACCTTTTAAAAATGGCACTTGCCCCGACCTGCTTCCGACCCTTTCCCTTCTGGGTGCCAGCTCCAGGGCAGCAGCCCCTGTGCCTGTTTTATCCTCAGGACCTCGAAAGCATCATCCTCTAGTCCATACCCAGTCAGTGCTGGGGACGGGCAGCTGGGTGGCCGAGGGCCTGTGTTAGAGAGCAGTGAGGGAACCCCATGGGGGACCCCAGGGCTGCCTTGGGAGCCTGTGCTTCACTCATCCTGGCTTGGTCACTGGCCAGGACCCTGCTCTCTGGGCCTGGGCCTGGAAGTGGGCTGGACTCAGTCCTCAGGGTCAATGAGKGGTCTCCCCCGTCATCCCCGCACCCCCAGCCAGACCCAGCAGACCTGGCCCTACCTGGGATGTGGGTCACGTGATGGGGGTGGGGGTGGTGGCGGGAGAAGAAGGAGTGGTGGCTGAGCCGACCAAAGCGGTAGGTGCCAGAGGACATGGCCTTGGGGCTCCTCATCTTCTCTCGGGTCAGCTCCAAATCCACAATGCCTGGGACCACCRACTCTTTCTGTGGCCCACTGTCCCCTAGGCTCTGTGGCCAGTGCCTTGGCTTCTTCTCGAGGTTCAGCTCAGCCTTTGGACTGGAGGAGAGTGTTTAAAGAGAAATGAACAGCGCCTCCTCCTGGCAGCAGGGCCCACCCAAACCCAGTGCTCCGAGCTCATCCTGGAGCCCSCTCCCCAGACGCTCAGAAATCAAACCTCTCCCCCCACCCATGGCATCCAGCTTAGCTCCCCCAGAGCCTTTCCCAATGGTGCAATCCAGTCCTGGGAAGCCTCTGTCTTCCTAAGGTGCCTCCGCAGGGGACTAGGATCCATTTGAGAGAGCTCAGAGGAAATCTCTCAAGACCCCAGTTTTCTCCCAGAGATCAAATCTAAAACCAGAAAGAGAAGCCTCAGACCCACCCAGTTTTCCAGACAGCTGGGATGGAGCCGCAGGCCCCTTATGTACACCCACCGGGGCAGGGGGGCTGGCCCCAGCAAGGGCCTCTCCCCAAGCCAAACTGTTGGCAGCTCCAGAGAAGCCAGCTGCAGGCTGTCATCCTCCCCCAGGCCCTCAGGGACAGTCCTGGCCCAGACCCAGCGTCCAGGGACAAGATCTGGCTGGAGTCAGGCAAGCCCCTGCCCCCCGTTCAGGCCCCTTCCCAGGAGATGCAGAGCTGATGGGCACATGTCAGGGCTGTGACACTGCAGGGAAGCCTCCCACAGGCTCTCACTGGACTCGGCTAAAGGCCAGCCTCTCAGGTCCCTGGACTCGGCTAAAGGCCAGCCTCTCAGGTCCCTGCACCCTGCCACTTCTGGAGGAGCCATCTCTGCCCCAGAGGAAGAGGTCAAGGTCAGTTCAGCAAGGATCCAAAGCGGGCCACTCCCACCTGCCTGGTGGTTGTCTGCATTTCCTTCTCCAGGGGTCCCTGGCTGAAGAAAGTCCCTCTGGGGGCGTGCAGGTGGACCCTGGATATGTTCAGCAGGTCCGGATGTCCTTGGGCCCTCTGAGGAGGACGTTGGTGTCTGGGCCCCTGCGTTTCCTGTCCCATTCTTGATTTGCTTCTATGGTATCTGAGAGTTAAAGAAATAAAGCAGACCTTCTCTGAAAGCCACAGTTAGCTGCTTCCTCTGTCCCAGAAGCCGCCTCCTGAAGTCCCCACATGCCAGTGATCAGCGCACTGCCTCTTGTTAATGTCTTCTCCCTGTCTGGTGGCAGCTGGGGCAGGGGCGTGGGGAGGGGTGCCTGCACCCTGGGTTCACTTAGCTGATGGCCTCGGAAGGCCAGGTAGGGCTGCCTCTCTCGGAGCCCCACTCTGCGGAGTTTCCCCAGGGCAGCCTTGGTCATCCACCTGCCCTGCGCTGCCCCCACTCCTCAGTCTGCAGGTGACAATTCAGGGCTTTACCTCAGTGGCTGTTCATCCAGAGACCTCACCTCCGTGGCCATTGTAAGATTTCTAATGGGTAAGCCCGGCGTGCCAGATGGTTAACCGGAGCTCTCATGGACTAGCGGCAGGAGGGAGGAAACAGAACCAAAGGGGACAATATCTTGTGAAATTGAACCTTGACTTCTATATCACCCAGCCATTTCTTTCCCAGACAGGAGAGAAAGTCTTGCAGGTGTGCTGCAGCGACTATTCTTAAGAATATTACTTACATTGTCTCAAATAGCAAAGACCCGCATCAACCCAAGAGTACAACGACAGGAGAGTGAACTAATAGGCTGTGTTACCTTCAGACCAGGGAACATTCTGTTGCTATGGGAAATAAGAGAACCATGGCTACACATGACGTAGCTTTTAAATATAATGCTAGGCCGGGTGCAGTGGTGCACACCTGTCATACCGGTGGCTCGGGAGGCTGAGGCAGGAGGTCGTGAATTCAAAGCCAGCCTCAGCAATGACGAGCCACTACACAACTCAGTGAGACCCTGTCTCTAAATAAAATACAAAATAGGGCTGGGGAATGTGGCTGAGTGATCGAGTGCCCCTGAGTTCAATCCCCAACACCCCCGACCCCCAAAATATACAATGCTAGGTTGAGGAAAATATGTTTCAGAAGACCTTGTAGCACAAAAGTCTTTCTATAAATAGAAGTTCAAAGACAAGCAAAATGATCATAAATTTGATCAAATGACAAAACAAAAGCAAAAACAAACAAACAAACAAAAAAAMCCAAGGAAATGTAAAATTCCCAGTGCGGCTATTTCTGGGTAGGGAAAGAGCGGAGAKGTCCAGTGCAGACATTCTAGTCCTTGTTGTGGGCACTACATTGATGGGCGCTTGCTCGACTATTAAATAAACTAAGTGAGGGGGAGGGGAAAGATGACAGAGGTGGAAACCAAAAATTATGATCTAGCTAAATCTATTGACCTGACAAATAAATAAATATATCCCCAAGTGCTAGGGATGGGGTTGAGTTAGGAGATCAGCATATTCTGAAAATGGACCCCAGAGAACCGCCCCCAGTGCCCGCCTCTACCAGGTCAGGGTACAATGGGCTGGCCTTGTCTCAGATCACGGAAGGGGAAAGACTTGCTAAGGCCACATAGCCAGGGGACCAGAGCCCAGGGGACTCTCAGACCTCTCATCTTCCTTTTAAGGAAGGCTTGGGCGTCCTGAAGACAGGAGGCTGCCCCTGGCACATGAGATGCTGATGCTTGAGGAGGGGGTGTTTGGAAGCCCCGAATCCACCTGCCTACCAAAAAAAGGGACTCTTTGTAACAGAGACTTCCCAATCCTTTTGCCCACGAGGACAGGAAGAAATTCATCTTTCCATCAAGACTCGATTCACACACGTGTGTGTATGTGGGTACACTTGTGTGTGCGTGTGAAACTGAAGCCAGACTATCCCGAGGCAAGACATTCGCGGGACACACGCTGATTTTTGTTTTCATTGGTGACTATTAGACATGGCTCATTAAAGTGTTTCAACAAGCTTCTGATGAATCCCTACCCACAGCTGCTTCAGAGAGGTCAGCTGGGACCCAGGCCAGGTCTGCCATCTCCAGGGCGGCACACGGGGGACCACTGTGGCCAGTGTCTGCCCTGTCCTGCCTCTGTCCCTGGGCTCCAGAGAGCCAGCCGCAAGGCTTCTACCAATCCAGCCATAGGACTCCCCCACCACCTCTGTCCCTCCCCTGGGTCCTCCCTGGGTCCCCGTCTGGGGCTCCAGGATCTCTTTCCTCTGGGAAAGGTCCCTGGACTCACCAGGGAAGATGGCTGCTATAGCATGTGAGCAAGAAGCCCCTGCTTACCGAGCAGGGGGGAGCACGAGGACAAGCCAGGAGTGGGTTTTGTCGGTCTGTGGGCAAGTYTGTGCTTTGTGACTACGTGAGTCTGGTGGTTGCTAGGTTACCCCTCCCCACAACTCCAGAGGCACTCCCCAGAACCCCTCACCCTCACCACCCACCAGCTCCTCTTTCCCTCTTGCTCTCCTCCCTCCCCGCTTCTCCTCCACCTCCCATCAAAGCTTCCCATGGGGACCCCCCCAACCCCCTGGGATGGAATATCTGGTTCAGCACCGGGCACCGGGCAGGCTGAGGAAGTCTGGCCAAGGATGCTGGCTGGGCGGGGGCCCAGCCTTGTCAACCCAACCCAGCCCGGTGCTGCCACCAACAGCTCTGCCTCTGTGCACGTGGTTCTGGGGATGCACGCCCAAGGGATGTCACTTAGAGAACAGGAAACCGACCGAGAGCTCCAGAGTGTCCCCTGCAGTCTCACTTGATAGCTGGGTGAAGAGACTGAGTTTTCAACTAGGCCAAGGTTCCATCAGAGTCCTACACCTCTGAGATGTGTCACCTGGGTGAGGTGCCTGTACCGCCAGAGATGAGGGACAGTGGGGAGAACACTCTGCTTAAATTCCCGTTCTGCTCCTTCCTAGCTGTGTGGTCCCAGACAGTTTACATAATGTCTCTGAGCTCCAGTTCCCCTGCCTCTGAAATAGAGATGACACTCCCATTTATTCTCTCTTGGAACTATTAAGTGAGTCGATACACATTAAAGTGTTTAGAATAGTGCGTGTGGCACCGACTAGGATCTCTGGCTCGTGTTATCTCATCGGGGCCTGTGAAATGGGGCCTCTAATTCCTCCGGGGTTTGTTCTGAAGAGCTAATGGAAGTGAAGTACCTAGTTATAAGCCTGGTACATAAGAGATGCCTACCAAAGATGAGCATAATTATTGTTAGGGTAACTTGATGAAGACAGGATTATACAAGCAGAGAGTCTTTATGTGGCGGAGATACCAGACTCAATTAAAAAATGAAATTATAAGAACATTATGATAAAGGATCAATGCCTGGGGAGAGGGTTCATTCGCCCTGTCCCCAGGCCAGCCTCTCTTCAGAGAGCCTAATTAACTGTGGGTCCCTACCTRTTGGGTTGTAAATAGCTATCTCAAGGAGACTGACCACTTTCCCTGGATAACTTAACATCTCTGAGACAGGATTTCAAGGCCAGAGATGCAACAGATGCCCGTGAAGTTTCTTYTCCTACTCTGTAAACCTTCTGGGAATGTAGCTACATCACTTAGTGGTTAGTATAATTTTTAGGTCATTATGCCAATTAACTGCCATCTAAACTGTAACCGCATAGGCTTAGTTCTTAGAAATAGAGCTCTTAGGGAGATAAACTCAAGTCATCTTGAGTAGCTGCTGCCRGTGGAAAAGGACACTTCATGAAGACACTTGAAAATGTTCTGGTACCCACCCCCCCCMMAAAAAAAAGCAAAACAAAACAAACAAAAGTGCTTTGCCATCTTTGTTCTGYGCCTGTGAACTACTTATTGTAGAATTTCTGTACATGGTCCTTGATCCTAAGGTCAAGAACTCTAACCCACCAACACTGTAATGGTTAAGGATTGATGTCAAGTTTCCTATAAAGAGCGCCCCRTAACCCCAGCTCCTGACTCAGAACTTCAGAGCACTAGCTCGTCTGKGTCCCTCGGTGTAAACAAACTTGACTTCTCCAACCCCCCGAGTGGTGCTTGGTCTCTTGCCGAGTGGGATTTTCCATAACACTTAGCCGGAACCACCTTGGATAATTCACTTTATTTCTGAAGCTCAGTGAGGACTCCTCTGTAGAAAGGGGGTAAGGACAACCCCTGGCCCACGGGGCTGTGATGAGATCAGAGGCCGTGCGGGGTGCCACAGGCTGTGTACACTACAGAAGGCTTGCAGATGGTGCTGGCCCGGRAATGAGGTGCTGGCCCTCAAAACTGGTGGGGCTGGGACTGAATATTCAAGGGGCTTGGTACTCAGCACCTGGGGCTTCAGACCAGCACCTTGAGGAGTCTGATTCTCTGGCTAACCCCTGGGAAGCAAGGAAAGGAAGGTGGGCCGCTGGAGGCAAACCCAAGCTCTTCTGAAGTTCTGTTCCTCCCAGCCAGGAAGGGGGGGTGGCCTCTGGTCTTGGCCTTGCTCCGAATGCTTCTCCATCCACCCAGGTCAGAATGTTCCCTGAATTTTGACTTCCTGGGCCAGTCTGCCCAGGATTGAGGTGACCTTTTAGAAATCATTCGGAAAACCCCCTCTTGCATTGCTTTTGGGTATCCTAGTGACTATCGAGATAAATAATATTGGGTTTGAAAGAAAAGAAGCTTTCTTCCTTGTGACCAGTCCCTCTCTGTGGCTTTCAGTTCTCTAGGGGAATTTCCACCTTGTGAGCTGACACACCTGGATGCAATACCCCCACTCCCATCCTCCCCGGGCTCCTTTGATAGCTTCCCTTGTGTTCAGAGCTGAACGGGGAGTCTGCAAGCCAGCTGCAGCTGAGGGGGGGGGGAGGGGTGCCGAAAGACCCATCTTAACCCTGGAAGAGCTGAAGAACCCTCTGAGGTTCTTCTTTGCAGAACACCAGGAACAGGAGAGAGATCTGTCCACTTGGGAATAGTTTGGGGTATAGTCCTTTGCTTCGATGCCTCAGTTGTAAGAGGAGCAATGTAAAACTTTGAGGAGCGCTTCCTTTGTACCAAGCACTGTGCTAAGCCTTCAGGTGGATTATCTCGTCTAATCCTACAGATGAGGAAACTGATGATCAGAGGGATCCTTAGCTCTATGTTGCTACTGTATTCTCCACCTGTGACTTGTTCTTTGGTCCCTAATGCAATTTCCTGAGAAAGATAAATTCCTAATTTCAGTATAGCCCAATTTATTAACCTTGTCCTTAATAGTTAATGGGTCATGTGTTCTATTTAAGAGATCTTTGCCTACTTGAGTTTATGAAGACAGTTTCCATATTGTTTTCTAGAAGATTCATTGTTTGACCTTTCAAATTTATATCTATGATCAATTGGAAATAGGTTTTTGAGTATAGTGTAAAATAGGGGTCAAGATTCATATTTTTTCCACACAAATGTTCTTTTAACCCAGCATTATTATTTAAAACACTATCATTGTCCTGCTTTCCTGTAGTACCATCTTCATCCAAATTCAAGGGTCCATATATCTG